TCGAACCCTCAGGCTCAGGCAATCCACTCACCTCAGCCTCCCAAGGTGCGGGATTACAGGCTGAGCCACCGAGCCCGGCTATAAAAAGAAATTCTTAAAGGTAGAAATAACCTTAGCAATAACTTGATTCACCTCTTTTATAGATGAGGAAACAAATTTAATATCAGCGACTTGCTTGAGGCCAGATAGTGACAGAGTTATGTGGTTCAACCTTCAAAGCCTGTCAGCTATTCACTACTAGTATGACACATTAAAGCTTCAAAAATATAGAGATGGAGATTCAGTCACTTAAACCTTAAGGTACCTGTTCAAGAACACCATCTCTTAGAATATACATGGACTCTCTAGTCCTCTTTGTAACCCTGATGTAATGTATGTTGTATACTATGCCATGCTGTTTTTTAAAACCATATCTAGTGTTTTGGCACATTGAGAATTTATCCATCCTCTTTAAGAGCAATTTAAAAAATAATGCAGAATGTATAATCCTTGAGAACTTCTCCATTCTCCCTTCCAATCCTTCATCCTTCCAGCAAGGAATAACAGATACTCTAGGTGTAATTGGTGCCAATGATCTTTCCAGACTTAACCTGATATCTTCAGATATGTTTTCTGTAGCCTGCTGATCTTTTCCCATACTGGCAAAAAAATTTTTCACATGGCAGAAATTTTTTTACAAGGTTCTGAAATCTTTCACATTTTTGCTATGCTTTCAAAGTATAACAAATAAGAAGGTGCTAAAAAGCTTATTTTTATGATGAACTTGATTCTTCTGGAGCAGATTATGTTATCAGTGAACCATAAGGTTATGGATGTAGAGTCTTATCAAAATGTGAGGTTATTCTTCAGCAAATACGTATAACTTTGGCTATAGTATGTGGGCAAACTTGTTTTATAATGCTGGAAAAGGTGTAATTCATATTTTGACTTATTTCTTCTTCTGAATCTTACCCTTTCTTTCTCTCAGTTAGTTCAAACATTAATTGAAGAGCTTAATTTATCACCCAATGGGTGATAGACTTTAAGCAAATGTTTCAGGGTTGCTTGGCTTTCAGGAAACTAGCTTTTCTTATCTAATGCCTTCCTTTTCTTGTTCATGACCCTTTTCTGTTTGATTTTTTTTTAGAAGATTAAGGTATGAGGACTGTGACAAAACAAAAGCTAAAAATTAGTGCTTTGGAATGTTTTGAAGCTTGTGTACAATAGGTTGATACCTTTTTTTTTTTTTTTTTTTTTTGAATCAGAGTCTTACTCTGTTGCCCAGACTGGAGTACAGTGACCACCGCAGCCTTGACCCGCTGGGCTCCGGCAATCCTTCCGCCTCAGCCTTCCAAGCAGCCAGAACTACAGGCACGTGCTACCATGCCTGGCTAATTTTTTTGATTTATTGTAGAGATGAGGTCTCGCCAAGCTACCCGGGCAGGCCTCAAACCTGTGGGCTCAGGCAGTCCATTCGCTTCGGCCTCCCAAAGTGTTGGGATTACAGGCTGAGCCACCGATCCCAGCCTGGGTTGATATCTTAGGAAAAGGTGACTCAATTAGATGACAAGTACAATGTGTGTAAACTCACACATTGAGCTTGTCTCTGGGCTCTCGACTTCTGCTGACTGCTTTTTTTGTATTGCTTTAGTTTGGGGCAAGTATCAAAAGAGATGATGCCTCTATTCATGTGTCTACTTTAAAACACTTATGTACTTTAAAATCTTGTGATGAATGTTAGTATTTGAAAATGATTTAACACAAGGATGGTACTTCAAGAAAACTTTATTTGTAAATGTTATCTTTCTGTGTTTCTTTTCTCTTGTACTCTTTGTATATCCCTGACCCTTAGGACTCTTATAAGGACACTAATCTTATCCATGAGGATGCTTCCCTATTGACTTTATCTAATCCTAATTACCATCCAAAGATCCTACCCCCTAATACCTTAATGTTTTAAGGAGTAGAAGTAGGATTTCAACATGAATTTTGGGAGGACGCAAGCAAGCATTCAGTCCATAATATTGACCTATGCAAATAGAAAGGAGAGTATTTGCCCTTGGTCTCAGACTCACTCCTCCCTTTCCTCACTTTATTTTCTTTTTTAAAAATTTTAATTTATTTTAAAGATGTGGAGTACAAGTCAGGATTAGGTATGTAAGTGGTCAGTGTACAGATGAAGTTTGAGCCTCCCATTGGTCCTCACTTCACCTAGTTTAAGTACCTTTATTGACGTTATGTGCCCCCCTTCCCCTGGCAGTGTCTCCCTACTGCCAATCTCTTTCTTGTAGTATTATGATAAATGTTCAGGGTTCACTTATGAGTGAGAATATGGGGTACTCAGTTCTTTGTTTCTGTGATAGCTCAGTGAGTACAACAGACTCTAAATTCATCCAAGTTGCTGTGAAGTCTATAATTTTTTCCTTCTTTATGACTGCATAATAATTTATTGTGTATATGTACCACATTCTTTTTTTATCCAGTTCACTTTTGATGGGCAGCACAG